AGGAACTCTCTAACAGAGTCGCTATGAGTCTGAACCAACTCCATGGCTCTCAATAACAACAATAATGTTGGAAAACTGACAGTTTTAAGTTTTAACTACTATTTGATTTATGATTTTTGAAAAACCACTCTCATGGGGATGGCATGGATAACAGTGACAGGTTAAAGAAGTAGGGAAACTAGTGAGAAGACAGAGTATGCGAAAGATGATGATGTTCTGAAATATGATGCTAGCAGAGGAGACAGAGACATAAGATTTATGACATATAAAACATTAGAGAGAAGAGGTGACAGTACCATCTATTAGGTTGGCTGGATGGACGGAGGTACAGTTAAAGAAAAAGAAACTTAGGATGGATTATGGGTTTGGGCTTAAATAAACACTTGATTTGTAGTGTTATTTACTGAGACAAGAATCCTACAAAACCAACTGAGGACAGAAATCAAGAATTGTGCTTTAAAGGTGTCATAACCTGAGATGCCTTTTAGACTATTTGATAGATATAAGAATTAACATCAGAAAGGTGTTAGCATGTATAACCATTCACTGAAACAGCAAACATTTCTTAACAAATATCATGTGATGTGCATTATGCCTAAAACCAGATGTGTTAACTGGACATTCACTGTAGCTGGGGCAAGAGACAGAAAGAGGAGACACAACTCCTGCTCTCAAGGCACCCAAATAATTAAATGTGAAACTGACAAAAAAAGTCTGTTAGACTAAACCACCAAAATAAACTGCAATGAATTACAGATCTAAATATGCAAAGAAAATAATAAAGATTTTAAAGAAAAACATAGGAAAAATACCTTTTTGATCTTGCAATATGAAATGATAGCTAAGTCACACATAAAAGAAAAAATTGTCAAAAGAAACCACAAAGAGAATGAAAAGACAATTTGCAAAGTAAGAAAGTATTCATCAATTCAAGTACTCATATCTAGGATATATAAAGAGCTCTCATGAATCATTAAGGAGCTCTGGTAGTGTAGTGGTTAAGAACCAGGCTGCTAATCTCAAGGTAAGCAGTTCAAAACTACAAGCTGTTCTGCGTGAGAAAGATGAGGCTTTTTGCTCCTGTAAAGATTTACAAACCTCAGAAACCCTATACAGAGTCGTTATGAGACTCCACAGCACACAACCACCACGACCATGAATCATTAAGAAGACATTCAGTTCAATTAAAAAGAAGTTAACCAAATAGTCAATAACCATACTTCAATTTTACTGGTCATCAGGGAAATATAAGCTAAAGCCACCAAACACAAGTTGTGGAAAGGGGCAACTCTCATACTCTGCCAGTGGAAATCTACCAAAAAGGAATATATGCATATTCTGGTGGTGGTGTACCATAGAGTCAATTACAACTCATAGTGACCCTGTGTGGGGGTTTCCCGAGGCTGTATATCTTTATGGGAGCAGAAAGCCTTATCTTTCTCCCTTGAAGTACCTGGTAGACTCACACTGCAGGCCTCTCACTATGCTATTCAACAATCCCATTCTTAGATATATGTCCAATAAAAATGCATACGTGCTCAAAACGACATGACTTAAGCAACACAATTCAACACAACAAAGCAACAAAATTCTTAACAGACTAAACTGGAAACGACTCAAATGACTATCAAGAGTGAAATGAATAACTGTGATATAGTTACACAATGAGATTCTATGTAGCAAAGATGATAAATCTCAAAAACATCGGTTAAGCCAAAATAGATATGAGTACATACTGTATGATTCTATTTAACAGAAGGTACCCATTCAAAAACAAATTCACTGCCAGTGAGTTCATTCTAACTCATAGCAAAACTGTAAGACAGAGTAAAACTACTCCTCAGGGTTTCTGAGACTGTAAATCTTTATAGGAGCAGACAGCCTCACCTTTCTCTAGCAGAACAGAGTATACAAACAGACTAAACTATAGATAAGTCAGAAACTAACTGGGCATTTACATCTGGTGAGGATAATGGTGAGAAGGGGACAAAGAGGAGGAACGCTGGGGTCTTAGTGATGTTTTATTTCTGGATCTGGGTGCTG